CCCTCCGCGTACTCCCCTGGGGCTCTGGATCCACCCCCGCCTCCACCCTGCCCGGCGGGGGTGCGTCCTGCCGGCATGTCCGGGGAGGGAGACAAGAGGAAGCGCTTTATTTCGGCCACGGCTGCCAACTACTTCGGGCTGGATCCAGCTGTGGGTCCCGCTGCCCTGGCCGCGGGGCTGCGTTCCCGCCCGGAGCTGACCAGCTTCCTCGACGACAGCAATGAGTTCCTCCTCGTGGTGCAGCACTCGGGCACCCAGCTCACCGCATCCAACAAGGTAGGGTCGTGCCCCGCCGAGGCTGTGGAGGCGCCTACGGATCCGGTGTGCCCACCGCATCCCCGTGTGCGAGGGGGGGATGCAGAGCTCCGGGTCCACCCAGGTTTAGTGGTCGTAAACGACGGGTGTCTGATTTGGGAGATGAAGGGATGCTAAAGGGTTAACAAAAGGACCTTTGTGAAGACAACTCCAGATCCATTGCTGGCATTGTGTTTTAGGTTAACTTGCTAATCATATGAAGTGAACTATAGATAAGAAACTAACACTGTAGAGAATGTGGAAGAGGAGAGGTTAGTAGGAAATGGCCCATCTTTGTTGTGGTCCTTGGAAGGCAGGTAGGGGAGCAAAGCGTCTGGCACTTTGTCGGTATGAGGATAGCCAAGGATGGGGAGCCGGTTGGTACCGGCTGTGTTGTTCTGACAGCGGAATAAGGGGGGTAGAAGCTGGAGTTCGCCAAAAGGACAAGGTGAAGAAGAGGAGTGGATGAAGTAAACGACCCCTGAAGACCACCGACTCAAATCACTGAGCATGCGCAGTTGGGAGGGACTTATGGAAATGACCTCTTGAAACTAATTTTAATACGAAGCTGGGACAGGTTACGCCTATGTATAGGCGTATTGGGAAACTTCATGTATATGTAACACTTTGCTACATATAAGCGGGGCAAGCTGCCGTGTTGCGGTGCACACAACTTTGGTGGGACTACCCCCCCTGTGCTGCCCAGCGCTGAATAAACATACCTGCTTTACGGTCTTACAGATTGTGGAGTCTGGTTTCCGCACGTCAGGAGATGTCTTCCTATTGCAGATACCTATGATGGTCTTGGTGTCTGCTGCATAAATTACTGGCCTGAGGGTCTGTGAAGACCATATAGTCAGCTGCGCCATATATTTGTCAGTGGATTGTGCCCACGCTGAGACGTAGTTTTAGCGGGCTGTGCAGTGTCACTGTGTGAAGGTAAACAGCCTGGAGAACAGTGTGTGGCCTTGCTGTGAACGCCGAGTGGAATCCGATGTATGGGTTGTTCCTGGGCGGGGGTGCATGCAGGTGATGAGAAGGATTGCATTGCCGATGTCCATGCAGGACACGTGGCTCAGGATGTGGCACATTGGCAGATATTTGACAAGTCCCAAAGTGGGCGTTTGTCCAAATCATGCATTTTGCAGGTTGATGTGTCCAGCTGTGAGCACATCCGAGATTTGTTGTGTGAAATGTCCTGGTCTCGAGTGCGTGCGTTCAGCCAGTGATGACTCCGAGTGAAACCGTGGGGTGCGATGTGCGGTGAATGTCACCATGTAATCAGGACACGCTGTGCTACCTGCCTGCCACATAGAGTGTATGGGCAAAGTGCGGGTCATGACGTGCGTCCCATCATTCTGCTGTGAGACCAGGGACGTGGTGTCTGTTATGTCAGTGACAATTTTTTTATCTGCACTTAAGATGAATGTAATGGGTCGTTAACATGTGAACTGCTGTGGGGAGCAGTGACTTACATACCTCTTGATGTAATCATCTGTGTAGTCTGTGAAGTCTAGTGCATGCTATATTCATGTGAGAATGCACATTTACGTGTACCTGTTTTTGGGGTGTGCTGCTGAGCCACTGCCTAATATACAAAGCCACTGTCAGCAGCCATGGAAGATCAAATGCATATCGGGGCTTTAATGGTAAGCCTGTTGTCTCAGTGAAACGGTGTCTGTAGGTGTTGAGCTAAAGACTTGATGAGAAAGTAAAATTGATACTGTCCAGTCAAATTGAGAGCTGTTCTTACTAACCCTGTGTTTCTTTTAACAGAAAAAAAATTTCACAGATGTTTACAATTGTACAGAATTTGGGATTGTAGTTAATGTATGTTTTTGCTGCTGTTTAATAATGTTTAATAATGTTCTTCTGTTTTATGAATTCTCCTCGGCTACAAATAGTTTCAATAATTGATTTTATGGCAATTTTTGGAACTTTACCCATAAGTTGGACTGTGAGGGGAACAAGAGTCGTGTTACAACTTAGGATTTTATGGGTGAAGGAGCGTGCCCTTCCTTGTCCTTGACAAATCTATGAATTGCAGTAGAGTTGTGTATTTACAGACTCAGGAGAACAATACTGAATATTTATTCCCAAAATTATGTAGTGTAAAAATGCAATAAAAAAGATAGACTTCATGCTTAGTTTTCTCTAAGCACAAGATGGAATTCTGGTTTGACCCCAGAAAGTGGTAGTGGAGCTTTCAAAATCAAAATAGCATAAGTAATTACGGTATTTACAAATATTTTATAATGAAAAAGGCATTACATATTTGGTGTTGGAATTCAGGTTCCTATGAACTCAGGAATGAGTATAATAAAAGTTTTCATTTTCTGTGCAAATCAGATACTGCCAGAGTTATCAGAGCCTATAGGGAGAAATATGGTATTTTATAATTTTTTCCTTGATGTAAATAATTTGTGTAAATGGTCTACATAGTTTAGTGTAATATGCAGTCAATGACAGTTTTCTAAACAAATCCCGTCTTCTTGATTATTACAGATTGAAGCTACCGATTCTATGAATAATGTATTGGTGTTCTTTAAGCTGCGACCTGATGTAATTACAGAAGACAATCTTCATAGCAATATTCTTGTGTCATCTATGCTAGATTCACCAATTAACACCCTTTATCAAGCAGTACGACAGGTTTTTG